GGGACGACGACCCGGGTAGTGGTGGAGCAGGCCAGGGCACTCCCGCAGTTGCTTAGCTTTAATTAACGTAGTGTTTATTAGTACTAATTTTAGATTACATTACTTAGCTGTACAGATTGGAATTAGTGTGTGTATATATATATATATATATATATATATATATATATTTGCACAAAAACCATTAATTTTATTCTGTCGTTAATATAAGAAGCAGGAAGTACATGTATCAAAGGGTAGCAATTTGCCGTAGGAAAATAGTCAAACTCGAAATAATTCCGTCGGCATTTCCGTCGCAATGGGTATAAGTTTCCGACAGACTTTTCTGTCGGTAGGTTGCGACGGAAATATGTCCGTAGGAAGGTTGCGACGGAAATTTCCGTAGGAAAGTTGCCTTCTTCCTACGGAAATATCCGTTGGAAAGAGCTTAGCTTCCGACGGAATATTCCGTCGGAAGCTAAGAAACTTTCCGACGGAATATGTTCCGTCGGATCCTTGTGACGGACTTCCAATTTTGGTCAAACATAGGCTTCGACAAAATAAAATCCGTCGGAAATTCCCTCTGTATTAGCGAAAATTCCTACGAAGTGATTTCCGACAACGTGTTCCGACAAAATTCCATCGGAAACTGCCTTTTTTCGACGGATTTAGATGGGTTTCGACGGATTTTTTCCGTCGTAAATAAGGTGTTTTCTAGTAGTGTTAGGTTCATCAGTAATTGATGTTGTCCTTCTGGGACATTAATTTTAATTAGAGCATTTACAGTTGGTATATAGCGAATGACATCAATTCATACCCATTTTCAGGATGGTATCATTTTGAAATATATTAATTAACATGTAGCCACTTTTATTAAATAAAACGTTAATATTTAAGTTAATGTATGTACCAAACTGACCATCAATATATTTTTTATTATTTATGTGCAAGGATTACATAAAATAATGAAATAAATACTATCTCCCCCTAATCCTTGCATGTGGGGGTATTAAATTAATCCAACTACCTTTAAATCTCTTACACCTTTTAAGTCATAATTTTTTTTATCAATGCATGTATCAAGCAAAGTAAAATGATTCTTATAAAACTCATATTCGTTCCTCTTGCCCAATTATATGAACTTTTATACTAAAAATTCTCAAATTAATATTCTAATAGAATTAAAGGAACTAAAATAAGATTCACTAAATCAAATAACTTAAATTAATAAATGACTGATAATAATAATAATGAAATATCCGAAAAACATAAAAATATCCAAAACATAAAATTGTCCAAAATAAAATGTCCCATACAGCATAAAATCATAGTACTACGATAAAATTCTATAATAAATGCAAGCTAATTAATAGAGTTTATTCGCCAGTGGATCATAATTTATTCAATTATTTTCTTCAGGATTAGGAAAGAAATCAGCTGCTTCCAAGTGAGTTTTATCACCGTAATCAAAATCACCTTCGCCATCCTTATACACCAAATTTGTTTCTACTTTCTTTCCATTCTGTTTGATTGATTGTTGATAGAGGTCTACTAGATGTTTTGGTGTGCGACACACACGAGACCAATGGCCTTTTCCTCCACAATGGTAGCATATATTTTCATTATCCTTCTCATTCTTATTTCCATCTTTATTGTCCCACTTCTAGTGAGAGTATGAGTTCCTAAAATGACCGTCTCGACCACGATCATGGCCATGTCCACGGCCGCGACCACGACCTCGACCACGACTGTTGGCGTGATCTCTAGCCTTTTGCTCTTTCCCACTATGGGATGTCGCATTCACTTCAGGGAATGGAGTAGAGCCAGTTGGGCATGATTCATGATTTTTCATTAATAGTTCATTATTTTGCTCAGCCACAAGGAGACAAGATATCAATTCAGAATATTTTGTAAAACCCTTTTCATGGTATTGTGTCTGCAGGAGAACACTATTTACATGAAAAGTAGAGTATGTTTTTTCTAACAATTCTGCATCCGTGATTTTCTCTCCACATAATTTCAATTGTGATGTAATTCTAAACATGGATGAGTTGTATTCACTCACAGACTTAAAGTCTTATAATCTTAAATGTTACCAGTCATAACGAGCTTTTGGTAATATCACATATTTCTGGTGGTCATACCTTTCCTTTAGATTACTCCAAAGGACTTGTGGGTCTTTAACAGTCAAGTACTCAGTTTTTAGGCCTTCATGAAGGTGATGGCGAAGGAATATCATAGCTTTAGCCTTATCTTGGCTTGTTGCAGTGTTGTTTTTTTTTTAATAGTATCACCCAGTCCCTTTGCATCTAAATGTATTTCAAAATCTAACACCCAAGACAGATAGTTGTTTCCAGTAATATCAAGAGCAACAAATTCGAGTTTTGCAGGGTTTGACATGATTCACTGATATATAAAACAATATTATAAATTAGGAACTAAGGTGGTATAATAAATATATTTATATTCCAAGTTTCAAATGAGACGACTAATTTCAAGTAATTAATTATAACAAGATTTGCGTATTGAACCTCGAAAAGGTTATTGTTCATGAGACCACAATTAAGTCCACTAATCAATTATGATTATTTATCATTAATTCATTATATCTCAAATTCCCACAACAAACATACATGTATTATCAAATTCCAGAAAAAGTGGGTTCCAACTTCCAAAATCCAAACCCATTAACATACGAATTGCATATTTGCATACAATTATGTAAAGACCAAAAGTAACTCAACAAATTTCACTAGTTTCAATGATTAATGGATATGAGAAAGAAATAAACCAAAATAAATATCAATAAGCAAACCCACTTCAGCAAATGCAATTAACCACTAATCTTGCAAAACCCAGTTGCTCAAATCCACAAATTCACATGATTTCTAAGTTTCCCTAATCAATTACAGCAAAACTACTAATTTCAAGGGTTTGGTCAAACACCCTGAAACTAAGATCTTGATTTCTAGCTACCAAAGTATCTAATTCGACTGATTAAGTAATGATCAAACATCAGATATCTTACTAAATACAGTAAATTTGAAGATAAATTAGAGTAAAAACTGACCTTAAACAATCAATATGAACTCAATACATCATGGTCTATTATCAGGAATTCAAGATATAAATCTGTAAACAAATTAACAAAACAAATAGTATGTAAAATGTAAGAAATTAAGAAGTAAAAATTCAGTAATTCACCTATAAAGTCACGGAATATGGATGAGTGGATGACGGAGCAGTGGAGCACCGAGCACGGGAGGCTGGAGGCGACGCCTGTTGGACAGCCGACAGCGAGAACGGGGGCCGGAGCGGTGAACGGCGGCGGCGGCAGCTTACGGGCTAAGGATTTAGGGGAGTTACTTTGATTGTCGTTTGAGATCAGTCAATTTTATGATGCTTCAATTGATATTGAAATCAATCTAGAGTTATGGTACGCTGTTGATAACGTCTTAAATATGGAAGAGAAATAAAGAGAGATAGGAGATAAATTGAGGAGAGAATAACTCAGTCTCACTTATTCCATAGAGTGGGGTATATATATACATACAATATAACAAGGGTTTGCTTAGATAACAATAAACCCTAGATCTAGAATATTCCAGAATAATAAAAGGAGGATAATGGATATCCACACAATATTTCATAACACAATAAACCTATTTCCTTCCTTTTTTGGCAAATTTTTACCCTCTGAAATTACCAAAATACTCTCGTTGAAAAAATTAAAAACCTGATTAACTTCACATAATCCTAATTACCTTAATCTAAGCTACTGCATTACAATACTACTTAATCAAATCATTCCCACCAAAAATTCATCCCAACTCCTCACCTACCTTCATTCAATGTTCTTCTCATCTCCTCAACTACCTGCATTTACTCCCATGGATGCCTTCATCTGGGTTCTTTTCTCATATTCATACACGAACGAACTATCAAGCTCTTAAAATTAAACTATACTCGTATTAAGTTTCAATTATCATGAGCTTGATTGCTGGAATCAATTCCAGAGTATTTGAATATAAGAGTCGATTGAACAATAAAAAGCATCATTATTACACAATAATGAATAAGACTTAACTAATCATAACCATATTATTTCCAAACCATTGTCTATTCAAACCTTTTTATATTTGTAATTGGTGTTGAAGTCACAATTATGTCTGAAATTAAAATAAAATTCAGTATCTCAATTTAGTGAATCAAAGAAAGGGGTATTAGTCAAAATTCTAAATTAAAATGTAAAATATTAAATCATGCAACCTAATGAGGCACAAAGGCCACAAACCAAGCAACTTAATACATCAACAAGACATCAATGGGTCTCACATTAAATTTTCAATTTTATTAAATTAGTGGTTTTCGAAAGTATTTTTATTAAATTTTCCTTTGAACACAATTTTACTTCATTGAAGTTTCTTTAAATATATAGTCTTATTGGACTTTAAAGTGAGATTCTAATAAACTAATCGAGGCGATTGAAAATCGATCAATTTCACATAAATTATTACTTCACCCGTCTGATTGACAATTCTACCCAAAATCATTAATTTTGTGCTCACGAATGTTTTGAGTTTCTTTCGGAATATATGCTTAATTATTGCCATAATCAAGTTGTTGAGTCATGCTTGCGACTTGCTAGTAACAACGCATCAAACAATTCAACCGTTTTGCCTAAAATATCTATAAAATAGGATAATTCTATTTGGATAATTGAGTTTCCTTTGGAGCTCCCTTTAGACCGTTCCTTGAATACAAAGCATATATACTAGTATACTACATAGTTGCATTTAAATATCAACGTGTTTTGCACGAAGGACCTCTATAAAGAAAAGACAAATATATCAACTAATTTTCTTTTTTTTTAATCATATAATTAACATATTATTAACAAAATTATAGAAATCCAACTAAATGCTCTTAAGAGCTGAGTTAAGAAGGGGCCCTTAAGAAACACTAAAAGTTAAACAAATTGTACATCACCTTGCATCAAATATCATTAAACTATATAATTATTTGACCTCTCTTTATTTCATATTGTAAATCATACATTAAGATAAGAATTTCACATGTAATCTAAAGACTAGACCTCTAATTTTTTTATACATACAAAAATGAATTTCTTACTTCAAATTTCAAATACATCTTCCCTTAATTATTACTCCACCTATCCATTTGCCTTCCTCAATAGTTGACTTTCTAAATAATATATTACCTCCCCTAAATAACCCTTAATTAATACTACATTTTTCTCCTCAACCTAATGACACCCCCTTTTTTCCTTCCATGGCTGCATGTTTAAAGTTGTACATAGTAGTCCTTCCCTTAATTTCTCCTACAAAAATCGACACAAAAAGCCTTTTTTGATCGATCACTACTACTACCAAAAAAAAAAAAAAAAAACCGAAAGAGAACCATTGTTTCGGTCTAAGAGAACCTAAATGAACACGGCCGGTGCTAGTCCAAGCAACACAAGGGATGCAGCCTCAACGAACTCAGATTTCCCTGGAAGAGAAAACAACGTAGGCGGGTTCACCTACGGCTTAGGGGTGTCATTAGGTATTCTTGTACTAATAACAACTATTACCCTGGCTTCTTACTTTTGTACCCGTGATGAAGGATCCACCACGGGTGCTAATCAATCAGAAGAGGAACAACAACAACAACAACAAAGACGAAACGATCATTGTGTGATCGACGTAGAAGGGATCGACGAAAATACACTCAAGACATACCCAAAGTGCTTGTATTCACAACTAGAGAGTAGCAAGAAAAATGGTTCAACAGTGAGTTGTTGTTCAATATGTTTAGCAGATTATAAAGGGAAAGATGTGTTAAGATTATTGCCAGAATGTGGGCATGCATTTCATCTAAAATGTGTTGATCCTTGGCTTAGAGTTCATCCTACTTGTCCTGTTTGTAGGACGTCTCCTTTGCCTACCCCTCAGTCAACGCCTCTTGCCGAGGTTGCTCCTCTTGCTGCTTCGAGAATTGGGTAAATTTCTTTTTGGTGCGCGAATGAGCCACAAGAGCAAAATAAAGTACAAATTATAGATGGGGTCGGGGAATTGAACCCACGACCGAAGTAGACCAAGACCTCATCGGTAAATTAAATTTAGATAGTTTATTTTTCTAAAATTTGTCTTTAATTTTTTTATTGTTTATACATACTCCATAATTTATAACTTATAAGCCATGGTTTTCTGGATTCTGACAAATTACAGAGCAAAGAAATTAGAAAGTTAATTTAGGATGGTTTGATTTGCAATTTGAGCATAGTTGACTTTATTTTTCATGTGCTTGATTTCTGGACAGAGTATACTTGTATAGAAGATTAACTTTTTTATGTAACTAAAACAATTTTTAGCTCTGAATCATGGTCTGTCTAAATTTCATTGTTTACTAGCTATGTTAAGCTACGGATGACTATTTTCTAATGGAGACTCACAGAAATTTAAACCGAATACAGGCAAGTAACTTTTAGCTTGCCACGCACTAGGCCAAGCTAATTGTAACTTTTAGCTCCATTGTTCAGTTAAAGACTTTTTGAAATTGCAATCAAGTCCCTTACTACAATGAATTACTTCCTCCGTTTATTTTGTTTGCCTCCTTGAGTAAAGCTCTTTTTTTTTTTTTATTATTATTTTTTATTTATTTATTTATTTATTTTCCACAAAAATAGCTAGAGAAAAGTGGTGGACAAAGTATAGTTGTGAGTTCACACCAAAAATAGTACGGATTACTTCGCATGAAGTATTTGACGTACCCAAAAAAAAAAAAATTTGAATAAAAAAAAAGTATTCTGTATTCATATTCTATTTGAATAGGCTGGGTAACCCAATTTGTTTATAGATCCTAATATACTCTAATTATAAAATACTTTTTAAGTAAAGGTTTAGAAATTATGATTATTGATTAATTTGTAGGGCCATGGACACCATTTAAATTCGCATGAAGTTCAATATAACTTATCTTATCTGAAATTAGTTTGTTGGGCCGTGGCCCTAACCATTAAAATTCACATGAATTTTGATCTATATATTTCGTTCTATCTTACAAACTAATAATTGGAACACAAACTATTGGGTGCGGCAGTCCGTACCCAATAGTTCGTGCGGCGATAAGGTATTGGGAGCGGCAGCGACAGAGGTGGAGTTCGCAATTTCAGGTTACAATTGTCGGAAAAGTACGCCGGGAAACTCCGTATCCATTGCAACGAATGAGTAATCGTCGATCAAATATCAAATCAACAAAAAACTATTCGCTAGTGAAGGTTGTAGGGGAGGTGCAATTACAGGTTGCGGCTGTTGTAGACGGTGGTTGTGACTGATTGGTGGCGGTTCTCTGCTGGTGTAGTTCGCTGGTTTATGGTGGCTGGTGGTGGTGCTGCGATTTTAGAGGTGGTGCTGCGATTTTTGAGGTGGTGCTGCGATTTGTGGTGGCGGCGTGATTGCTCCCATTCTCATTTCAAAGAGAGAGAAAGAAAAAGAGGAAGAGGGGGAAAGAGGAGAGAGAAGGATATAAAAAATACCTTGTATATACTTTGTATGTTGTTAATCATACTCCCTCCGTTTTTAAATACTTGCTCCATTTTCTCTTGAGCACGTATGTCGATGTTTATCTTTGATCATTAATATCTTTAATTATCAATAAGTATAAATTCTAACAATTGAAAATTAATAATCTATTTATTGAAACGATTCCAACAAGTACTCACAAGGTTATAATTTTTTTTTATGTATAAATCACAAACTTTAGTCAAAATAGGACAAATGAATAGTGCAAAAAGCAAAAATGGAGCAAATATTTAAAAACAGAGGGAGTATTAGACAGCAAATGACGCATATCAGCCAATAAAAGTAACATATCGCCAATTGATGTCTAATATTAGTCAATATTAGGGACATATCAGACATTAATAAAAACGTATCAGTCAACACAAGTAACATATCAGCCACCATATGAAGCATATCAGCCAATAAAAGGAACATATCATCCAACAAAAGATACATATCAGCCAACAGAAGGAACATATCAGCCAACAAATGAAGCATATCAACCAACAAAAGGATGAAATTAGCAAACAAAAGCAGCAGGTAAGCCAACAAAATAAACACATCAGCTAACAATTAAAATATAAATATCAGCCAACAAAATAAAGATATCAGCCAACTAAATAAATATATCAGTTAACTGATGTTTGATAGCAGCCAACAAAAGGAACATATCAAAAATTAAAAAAAAAAAAAACATATTAGCCAACAAAAGGAATATATTAGCCAACACAAAAAACCATACATATCAGCCGACAAATGAAACATATCAGCCAACAAATATCAGCCACTAAGTGAAACATATCAGCCAAGCCTGCCGCATGCAGAATTTGCATGCGGCATTCCGCACCCAATACCTTTTCTAATTATATCTATTGTTGGATTAAAAAAAAATTTTTTTTAAATTTAAATAATGAAAAGTGTAAATTTTCTTAAGCAATTTAAATGGTTTGACATCATTCATATCAACAACCACGTACAACCCACAATGACAAAAAAATATTATGCTACATTATCATTATAAACCAGTGAGTAGCCCAAGCGTTACCTCGGGTTACTACTTTATAGTTCTGCAATTGTTAATTTTTTAAAAGCATCTAATAGTTTGTATGTAGTATGTGTCTTTAATACTTTGTATTATAATATTATTTATTGTGCAAAGTTAAAGCATAATTGACAATTAGCCTAGATGATTAATCAATAACCTTTCTTCTAAGAGGTCAAGTGTTCGAAGAACGTCTTTAAATATATTAGTATAGATTAGTATAGATATATAATTAGATTAATATCATAATTCATTAATCACAAATTCACAAACTTATGTGGATGTTCATATTTACATCGCACTACAAATTATATTGTTTTTCATGAAGAAAGAAAAAAAAAAAAACCTAATAAAAGCATTGCCGTATTGACGTATTCTCCATAACAACCAAACACCTTATAAAAACGATATATATGCCTTTATCAAAGGAAGATGACAAATTGACGTGTGCATTCCGATATAAAATTGACAAAAGTATATAATAAATGGTACAAATATAAGATAGTGATATGATACAATTGCATAACAAAGACATTATTCAAACATAGATTGAAATACAAATAAAAACATGTGAATCGAGTATACTCTGTCCGTTTTCTCTCACATAATCAATCTAGTTATGTTCATAAATTAACACATTCAATTTATTTTTTTCTAAGAAAATGTACTATGGACTATGGTAAATAAAGATGCAATTTAGGATATGTAATTTATTGTATGGAATTAATATCCTAATGTATAACATCGCCTTCTTTTTTATGTTTTTTTTCTTTTCCAATTTCCTTATCCACGCCGTGGTGGAACCAGGATTATCAATATACTTCTAAACTAGGATTATCAATATACTTCTAATATCGGGGATGGTTTAAGAAAGCCTAAAAAGGTGTTTTATAATCTGACAAAAACCCTTGGTCAATTTAATTTATATTGAAATATATTAATAAGATTAAATACCTTTGCTCAAAATAGGTAATTTAGAAGTTTAAACGTGATTTCATTAAATAATACACTTCTAGTTGAATCAATGAGAATCGGGAAAGGAACAATGTTTTAAAGGTTATATAAGAGAATTAAAATTACATAAAGGAAGGAAAGAAAAAGAATAATTTTATAAATGTACAGTGTAAAAAAATATAAGCATATAAATAAAGCCGAATCTCGCATCCAAGACACGAGATAACGACACTTAATAGGTATTATTGTAATATATATGATGCTAGGTAAACAAATTTTGGATAGTTTTTTAAGATAAAATATATTGTATAACGTTTATTATCAATATACTTCTAATATTTCATATATACAAAATTAATCATAACTACAAACATAGTGTACCCGTGCTCATTAGGGGTGAGCATAACAGGGTACCCTGTTAAGATTCCTGGAACCGAAATCTGTTGCAATAACTTCCTTAAATTGAAAACCGGAACCGGAACCTGTTGAACAGGTTCCTAGAAATTGGGAATTGGAATCGGAACCTACATGTTCCGGTTTCGATTCAGGGTACCCTGTCTTGTAATATAATTAATAACTTTTTGCAGAACTTAAAAAAAAAAAAAAAAAAAAAAAAAAAAAAAAAAACTAGATGGTCACTAATTTATAATGTTTGTAACTCGCAAATAAAACAAGCTAATAGTAATTATTGAGCAAAATTAATACATTGATTTATAATTGTAATTTTGATATTTATTATTTAAAAAATTGGTTAGAATTGGTGTATAATTTAAATTTAAGTGCTACTTTTATCAGGTTGTAGGATAGCCTATAGGTTCCTGTTCCAAAAAATTGAGAACGTGAATCGGAACCTGTTGCAACAAGTTCTCCATTTTGCTACTCGGAACTGGAACCTACTGTACAGGTTCCGGTTCCAAAACCTGCGTTTCCTAATAGGTTCTGGTTCCGGATCAGGGTACCCTGATTTTTTGCTCACCCCTAGTGCTTATGCACTGGATATGTTTAAGAATAAAAGTAGAATAGATAGTTATGAATAACTTTCTTTTGTGTTAATTTGTAAGATGTAGAAGTTTAGTTGAATGTTATTAAAAAAAAAATTTGAAGGATTAGTATTTTAAAGAGCTGAATAATGTAATAAAATAGGTAATTCTTTTTATTGATGAAAGAAGCATAGATAATTTTTTTCTTTTCTTTTTTTTTTTTTTTTTTTAATTTTTTTACTACAAGTTAGAAGACACGCATAGTACATTGCGTGTGCAATATAAGAAATCTATATAGCTCGATTCTCCTTTTTTTTTTCTTGCAATATTATCCACCTTATTATAATAAAAACATATTAGTGGGTTTAAAAATTGATGAAGTCATGGAGGCTAATAATGGTAGGTTTTTATTTTATTTTATTTTATTTTATTTTATTTTATTTTTTTCTCTTTTTTAAGAAAATAAAAGATAAGAGGGGTATTTTGAGAAACTAAAATTTATCACCCTAACTCTCTTTCACATAATTAGAATATAGATAAAGGCAAGATAAATAGTAAAAGAAATGGACACATCATTTAACATGGAAACCCATGAACGACAAGCATCAAAATAACCCACTATATAAAAGTAGGAGAGTACAAGAAGGAGGTGAAAGGCTTAAGTGTATGGTATGGATTTTTGTGTGTGTATATGTGTATGTATTTTGATTGAATGTCCATGACATATATTTATAGTTGTAGATGGACTTTAGAAGAAATGACCGAAAGATTGTAGAAATTCCTTCATCAGTCTTGTATCCATGATGTTCTAGAAAATTCACGAACCATATTTCTAGTTACTTCCAATGTCAAGGATTTCGTAGATCATTTTAGTGGCTTACATGATACAAGCTAGTAGAAAAATCAAGAGAATTGAGGAGCAATACCATCCGAAAGCTTCTTGATGAATAGGAACAAATATTCCATCAAAATAATAGGCCTATTAAAATTTGGGCCACACCCAACTAATCTTGCCTTTTAACTTATCATCAATTTCAAACTTCTTAAGAGAAGAATCTTTAATGGGTAAACACTCTAATCAACATTTGGCTCTGATACCAAATATTTTTCACATTAAATATTGTGTATCCATTTCTTTACTATTTGTCTTGCCTTTATCTTTTTTCTAATTTTTTCAATCTCTACATCTTTAATTAACTTCTGCTACGCATTTATCAACCGTTACTTGAGACGAACTACTACAAGGGGGGATTGTAGTGAGTTCCTAAGAGACTACTTTTTGCGAAATCATAAAACAAACTAAAATAGGAACTTAAAAAGCACACAACAATTTCACGAGGAAATCTTCTAGGGCTCAACTGAAAGTAAAATCTCAACCCTCCAATGGATTTCAAACCAAATCAATCAACTATAATAGGGCAACACTCCTAGTTACAACCTATTAAGTACAAACCTTTACTCACAAGTTCTAGAATGAACTTGCTAACCGCTAGATACCTATTCTACCCAACTTAAGTCCCAGACTTAAGTTCACTCAGTACTCCCAGAGCACTCAATCTCAGCTTCACACTAGAAGCCTACAAAGTGTATGCAATACTAAATCACTCACCCAAATCCCAAAACAATACAAACAATTGACTCTAATATGAGATTGGAAAGCTACACATGAAACCTGAAACTAATATGATAAAGCTTTAAACTTGGCAAACTTACTCTTAAGCACCTTCAGATTTTTACACATAAACTCACAAATTATCTCGGAATATGAATACTCTATTTATAAGAAGTACTCACAAGCCAATTAGGGTTTTTTAAAAGATAAATATAAAAATTGTTGTTTATTAAAACCCAATATGAAATGAATCTTTTTTTGAAAATCTCTAAGAAAATCGAACAAAGATATAGTTTAGAAAAAGATTAATATTTTGCAAACCAGATTTTATAAGATAAAATCTCTCAAAGATTTTTTCCATAAATTAAAACTTATTTTTTATAAACATTCCGATTTTACTTAACTTGCCAACCTTTATCCCGTTTCTAATAGATCTCATACATAATTAACCAACGCATATTTAC